ATATATCTCAAGGCTAAATAAACAGCGCTCGTAATTTTCTTACTTAAGCATCCCAACTCGCCAACATACTAAAATACAAGCTCACAAAGCATAAACAAATTTGATTTTTTTTTTTTTTTTGGTTATTAAAATATAAAGTTAAGGCATATACAAATTTGATGTTTTTTTTCAAGTTATTAAAATATGAAGTTAAAAATAGAAAAATACAGTTTTTTTTTTTTTTTGTGTCCAACTTTCGATTTTTTTTCCTTTCTCTTTAAGTGCTCAACTCGATAAATTCTTTTATTTCAATATCCAATCTTTAATTATTATTATTATTATTATTTTGAATGCTCACAATCATCTTAGAGTATGAAATGCCGACGTCTCCAAGATAAACTATTATGTGGCAGCTAAAAATGCCACATGAAAGTTGAAATTATCATATGATAGTTCATTTCAAACAAGTCTACATTTCATATTCTCAAATGACTGCAGATGTTCAAATAGAAAAAAAAAATCAAAATTTAAACGTTAAAATAGAAGAATTTACCAATTTGATACTAAAAAAAAAAATAGACATCTATAATTTAATAACGATGTCCATATTAGTGTTAAAAAAAAACATAAGAAAAAATAGAAAAATAAGAATAGAAATGAGGTGCGAAATCATCATAGGACACGCTAATGATTGTGATCAATTACAAAACTATCTAAGAATAGTGAGATTATTGAACTTAGAGTGTTTTTAATAAAATAATTAGTTAATCTCTTTGTTTTAAAAAACCTAATATTAAGTCTCTATATTTTCATACTTGATTGTAACAACATCCTCGTGTTGGTGTTTCATCCCATTTAGCTTTCTTTTTTTCCCCCTAAAATATCTCCATTTATAATCATAGTTTTTAATAGTACCTACTATAGACAAATTTAAATGTGTGTCTGACAAGGATAATTTAGATATTTGAAAAGAAAAAAATAACAGTTAACTTTGATCAAAGAAAAATACCGAGGAGCTAACTTATGAAAAACATTGGGACTAAATTATAATTTCTACTTTTGAACTTAAAAATAATAGAAGTATTAGTTGCTCAATCCCCATACTTCCATTTTTCACCAGGACTCATTGTTTTTGGTAAGACAATGCAGAGTGCTTTTCAGTTAAAAACGCATTTAATTAACGTCTTTTGGAGTTTTGTTTTGTTTTGTTTTTTTGTTTTTTTTTTTTTTTTTTTTTTTTGCACATTCAAATATAGTGCAGCTATACTACCAAAACAAGCACTAAGTTAACGAAGATTAAAGAGACGTAAAATTTAAAAATTGTTAACAATTTACCAAAAGCACAATGTTGTTTTGATCCAAAATCATCAGCAACACCTTTTTACTATTTTTCCATCAAAGCGTTTTCAGGTTGTAAGAGCACTAGGATTAAGTAGCTTGATCTAATGACGTTTTACCAGAACTGGAAGAGCAATAACTTTAGTTAGCAAGCTCATATACTTCAAAAACTAAATTTTGTACAACATCGATCCTTACTAGGAAAAAAAAAAAGACTGAAGACGAAGGAGTTACACTTTCCAATGACTTCCATGATCAAGGATCTCTAGATTCACGAAAAAATCATTATTTATCATGTTATTTTTGTAATTTCACTCATGCAATATCTTAAGCTAAAAACGGAAGAAGAAAAAAATTACTAGACACATTCATCTTATATTTAGCTTTTTGCAGAATCTTTATTGGCCGAAACTCAAATTAATGTATCCTGAAACTATTAGGAAAATATCGATTTTGCACCCAAACTATTTTTTATTTATTTATCAAATTATCTTCAAATTATTTTGATTTCTCGATTGAGAACTTCTATTAAAATCACTTAACGAAAAACATTAAATTCAGATAAAATGATGTCATTTTCTATTAAAAAAAACCCAATTTGAATATAAATGCAGATAAAATATCTTAATTGAGAATTTTTGAAAATTTAAGTGTAAAATTGATACTAAAAATTACTTTGTAGCAAAACAAAAACTACCTAATTGGAGGGTAGTTTGGGATTTGCCCATATTTATTTAACACCGAGTGCTACTTAGGTGGTGTTTGATAAAACTGAAAATTAAGTGATAAATCTATTAAGTACTGAATTTTAAGTATTGAACACTTAAGTATCGAATATAATGTCGACAAGTTGTCCGGTATTTACCGAATTTGTATTTACTCGAAAATTAAATGTTGAATATAATAATATTGTTTGATAAGTATTGTTGTTTAACATATAGAGGCTATATACATGACAATTTTAACCTTATAATTGTAACATGATTTTTTTAACACAAATAAAAATATAAACATAGATGTGTTTTATGCATAAATAAATAAATAAAATTCAATAAAAATAATTATTAATAAAAAAATTAAACACGATCTAAGATAACATTAATTATCGTATTATGCACAAAATAAATGAAATCTCAAATACTAATGAATTCATTTGTAATTTAGTCTCCCAAATTAATAATAAATATTTAATCGACTTGCAATGAGATTAGACCTTGACGTCTCGGATTTTTACTAGTTTTTTAATGATGATGGGATGAAAGCATTAATAATAGAGAAGGTCTTTTTTGTTCGACAATAAGAATAGTAGAGATTGTTTTTCAATTGATTTGTATAGCTAAAGTTATAAAAATATATGAAGGCTATATAGTTATGTTTAAAAAGTTTTAAAAATCTTTCAACGAACGTGTTAATCAAAAAGTAATAAGTTAATTTTTGACTAAATTTAAATTTTAAATATAAGATTATTTAGATTATCAAACAAATTTTTTATATTAAGTAATATGACTTAATTTTTTAAGCTACTTAAATAGATTATCAAACACCTCCTAAATCCGAACCTAGGGTAAATAAATGGTGTGCGTGTTTGCTAGGTTATTTGGGTTTGGGTTTTAGAATTTGAACTTTTAAAAAAAAAATTACATATTGATAAATAAGACAAATTAAATGTTATTTTATTTTGGATGTTGTTTTTTATGGTATCAAAAGGAGGAGAAATTAAGCTGGTGAGAGATGTTTTGAAAATGGTTGTCCTTTGTTGAAACAAAAGTTGTACCAATAACGATAATTTTAATTATCAAAAAAAGGACAATTTTAAATATCAAATTTAAATTGACGTAAGAATTTTTCGGTGTGTATATAAAATTTGAAATCAATAATCTACATGCTTGCTTAAAAAGTTTAAACGACCTTGGACAAGCGAAATGACCTATTTCTATCATTCTTTACTCTTAAGTGTTGTTTGGTAATTAAGAATAGAGTTATGGGAATGAAAATGCGGGAATCGAATGAAAATTAAAAAATCGAAATGGTATTTGTATTTTTATACCGTGTTTGGAATACTAATGAGGAATCGGAATGCGAGTTTAAATTCTTTAATATTTGATTTTTTATACAAATAAAAATAATGATTAAAAAAATAATTTTATTAAACTATAATGATTGTAAAAATAATAAAGTTGATAGTGATAATTGTGGTTATGACGGTTGTGATTCGAATGATGGTGATGGTGGTTATGGTGGTTGTGATGGTGGTTATGGTTGCGGTGGTGGTGGTGATGACGGTGGTAATGGTGGTGATGGTGACGATGGTGGTGGTGGTAGTAGTGATGATTGTGATGATAGTGGTGGTGGTTGTGACGGTGACGGTGGTGATAAAAGTTGTTAATAAATAATAACTAAATAAAATATATTATTATTTTGAAAAAAAAAAATTCATTCCCATTCTTTGTTTTTTATTCCCACATCTTATGTGGAAATGAAGTTATGTGTAAATTTTTATTCTCATTTTCATTTTTTATTTTTATTCATACTTCATTCTTTTTAACCAAACAGACTACAATGTGAATAAAACTTTCATTTCCATTCTCACCACTCTATTCCTAATTACCAAACAGCACTTAAAGAGCATTGGAAGCACAGAAAACAGTTCCATCTTTAAAGTCAAATCATACAAGAGGCGTTACTTTATTTTATATTTAAAAAGGGAAAACAAAAAACCTTTTTCAAAAACATTTTTTCCTTAAACCTTATCACTGGATGGTATTGACAAAACGGAAAACTACAAATAAGTTAATTTTTGAAAAATAAATGACCAATCTATTCTACAATAATTTTTTAAGACCAATAAATTCACTTTTTAAGTTTTCCTTCCAAATAAATTTATGTTTTCAAAACTAAGATTATCATTAATCATTTTCTTTTTAAAAACTAATATTTACAAATATAAAGAACTATATTTATCCGCTTTTACAATCATAATTACAGTTGAATTTATTTAAAGTTTACACTAACAAAAAATAATTACAACAATAAGATGAGGAAAATTAAATATTTCAAAAAATTGTTATAAAAGCTTTTTTAATCAAACTAAAATATAAAAAGAAAAAGAAAATAAAAAACACACTTGAATGATGATTTAAAAAAAAAAAAATTGGAGGGTAACATAGGTATCATAATTAAATATGAACGGAACTTGTTTATCTTTGAACACAGCATCCGAGTTAATTCAAGTGTCCTCATCCATGACATGACATCATGTTTCTATCACAATGAGCATCAACTTTCATTCACACGAACGAAACGGCCTTGCAATACAGTTCTGAACCATTAAAAGAAAAACCTCATCAGCTTAGGTAACGTCTTAACTTAATAGGTTCAGTTTAGATAAATATTCATTAGTATTCATAATCAGAGGCGGCAGCTCTAGCCGCTTGGGTTGATAACTCCAACTTCCAAAATACGAATCAGAAAAATAATTCAATTCAGAAACTTCAAACCAACACCTACGATCTGTATGCTCAGATTCTTGATAATACTCCGGCAAAGAAACAAATAAAGAGCATTTCAACACGTATCACATTGATCAAATTGAAAACATCCAACATGAAATCCCCATGCTCTCTTTTTTTGAGATTCTTGAATTTTAGAATCATTTCTGAATCACAACAAAATGCCTACCCACTTCAAAGATCAATTACACGTGACAGCTTCTGGATCCGGTTTAATAAGAAGTCCCCTTGCTTGATAGTTGCTTGGTAGAGAGCGTTCTTTGCATCAGGGCGGTTGGTTTCAAGAACACCTGCAACCTTATCAATCTTGCAATGAAGCTTCCCTGCTGCAATAAAACGCGATAGTTCCCTGCAGGCACAGAAAAGTTGGATTTACGACAAACTTCAACGTGACATAACTGGAAAATCCAAGTGAGAAAAGGAGCATGAATTCAGCCACTCACAGATCAATGAACTCCACAGTCACCCCAAAAGCCTTTGCCATTGCTTCAATGGTAACACTCTTATAGGATTCCAAGAACTGAGAATAGACAACTGTTCTGACCTCTCTCATGTAATATCGGAAGTGTGGATGCAAATAGCGGTCCAGTTTGATTTGCTCAGTCAGGCCAGCTTAAAATAAAATCCAAGAAAAATGAATAAGACTAGTTCCATTACAAAGGGACACTCTCATATGACAAAATGAAAAAATAAATTAAAAAAAAGAATAAAAAAAGCCTACATGATGGACACAGTTATTAGCAGATGGAGTGACATGGTGTCAGAAACAAGAAATGAAAAAAATAGATTTATAAAGGTTGTGATGTATATCAGATCTCTACTTACCAAATGCTGAGAAAAATGATTTATATTGACAATCATACAGAGAGTTCAAAAACTCTGAAAGATATTGGATTTTCCCAATCACTGTCAAGATCTCAGGAGCATCAACCACCTGCCAGATTCACTTAGAATTAGAAACACTGAGGCATAATCAGGGGCAAATTACGACAGAAGACCAAATCATAACCATAAATACCTTTTGCTTCAAGGAAACTCTATCCAGTGATATAATGCTTGTAAGGACAGTATAAAATATGAAGGTATCATATGGGAAAAGTTCATATGTAGTGAAAGTTGAAATAGAATCTAAAAATAAGTCAGCTGCCTTCTTGAAATTTCGAGTAGACATGCAATACAAGCCTTCATAAACCTTTAAACGGTTCTTCCTTTCCCAATCACCTCCCTCTTCAAACAAGCTGTCATTAGAACACAAACACTTGTAAATGAAGAACACAGCTTCCATGATTTTGAGAAAGCATAATCAAAGCAAAATGCAATTAAAGAATTCATGTCTTCACTTCTTTGCTTTGTCAATGCTCTTGGAAATGAGATCAAAATCCATGTAGAAAAAGGCAAGCTGTAGTGTATAGAACACCAAGTCCATCCTTTGTCCAACTGCAACTGTTTTGCCTTCTGTCACCTTGAGTTGTTCCAATGCTTTATCCTGGTTCAAAGGGGAAGAGTGTATGAATAAGATATCACCAAAAAGGAAATATAAGAAACAAACATCAGCTACAAAAAAGTAGAAAGGAACTGTTAATACCTTGTCACCAATCCGAATGTAGAATAAGGACTTAGCTAAATGAGCTTCTCGAACTTCACTTTCACCTAAGTTTTCTTCAGCATCAGCGATCCTATTAAACAAAAAGAACCAAACCATATTAGAGGAAAACTAGGAACCAAGCACTCTTTTTCAAATCTGAATAACATGCACAAGGAGAAGACAGTACTAGTAGTTCACTCTGCCCAACTGGACCACAAGATTGTACCATCTTTGAGACTCTATACCTAAGATTCTACACAGAAGATCCCAATCGTTCTAAGATAAGATCCACCACCAGCACTTAAGCTGTTGATCGTTTATTCACAAGAACATCCAGTATCCATGAACAAAATAGAAGGTGGAGAATCAAGTTCGCAGAAAGTCATCCGTTGAAAACCAGTTGAGATCTTATTTTGTACAAAAAGCTAAGATGCACAAAGAGACTATGCTCATAATACTCCTCACGCCAAAAAGAGCAAGAGCAATCAAACAATGCTGCTTCATTGTACAGTTACCTTACACATCCTCGGTAAAATTGAATAGTACAAATTACTTCAAATTCAAAAATAAAAAAGTAATGACAGACACTAGTTAAACTTCTCATCCCACAGCTATTATCTTAACCATGCCATATTTAATTCCTGCATATGAAGATCACCATAGCAGTAAATACATTTGTGTGATAAAACTTACTATCATTTGAGCAATCAAGAGAGCAAATATTGCTATATCTATTTAGAGATCCCAAGGCAAGATTGAAACAGCAATTAAAAAGAAACTCTGTCAAATTGGCAGGCATCCAATATAAAGTTTATTTTCCCCTTGGTTGGCCATACAGCATTTAATAACAAACTGATATGTACAGTGTAAATATTAAAGTAAAACCATCAGAAGACTTTGAACAAATAAATCCCATCACATCAGCAAGTTCCCAATACCTACAAGAGGTTACTGACCTCTTGAATTTTTAACCCACACTCACCAAAACTCCTATACTATATGCTCAGAATCTTTTAAGCCACCATTTTCATGCACCTCTGTCATAAACCTATTCATGACAGGCCAGCCTATCCACTCCAACCAAACTTTTAAACAACATTATTACCTCATGGATACAGCCACAAATCTAAAACCAATTAATTTTCTTAAGCTAACAACTTCCAGCAACATCAAACACTAATCAATTGTGGATGTATCCTAAACCTAAGAACAATTCTAGCAAGTAATATAGGTAGTTTCATAAGCCTCAAAAACCACAAAAAGAAGAAAAAAATGAAATCCAAAGAAGCAGCTGAGTCATAGAACACTCATATTACAATTCAAATTCCATGTTCCGCCAACACTCACCCATATTACAATTCAAATTCCATGTTTCGCCAACACTCATTTTTACTCATTCAACAGAAAAACACAAAAATATACCTCACTTCGACCTCCACGTCAATCAAGGGTTCAATCAAAGAAAAATATCTAAATAATTGATACTAATGAATAAATAAATAGTAGTTTAGCACCCAAAAAAAAAACAGTAAAGCGTATTAGATTGGTACGTAGTTTTTTTCTATTTAATAAGGAGCTCCACTGATGTTAGCCTAATCCAAATAATTGAAAAAGAGCACACTAAATGACTAACTTTCGGATTCAAAATTAAAATCTCTTAAACCTATTTAAATCTAGAAAAAAGTCCAAATTTTAAAAAATGGAAAAAAAAAAAAAAAAACTTTAAAACTCACTTCTCATCGAGCTTTCTAAGCTCTTCTTCATTCTTAGCTCGCATCGAATCCAAAAGACTCTGATCTTTCTCCAGCAATGATTCCGCCCCTAGGGTTTCATACAACGGAACCATATCTACACAACAAAAACAAGAAATTAACCAATTTAAGTTAGATTCAACACATTAATTGATCACTGAGCCGCGACTCGGCGAGTAATTACCGTCGGATTTGATAGCGGTCAAAACCTCCTCCTTCAAACGGACCTTCTCGATGTCTTGGACATCGGGGTGAGTCAAGAGGAATAGCTTGTGAGCGAGGATGAGATGCGGTTGCTGTGTTCCCTCTTGGTTTTCCATTGTGAGCTGGATCGGCTGTCACTCGGCGAGTTGGTTTCTGGAGATAGTATTCGAAAAGAGGGTTGCTTGAGCAAGGAGAAAACGAGAAAGAGCGTAGACTGCGAAATAAAATTGTGAAGTTTGGTTCTATAAAGGGAACGGGTTTGATTGGGTGCTGCTCGGAGCAGCTTGTTACGATGGTCCTGATGCACAAACGTGGGACCAAGGCTCATTGCTTTTTGCTGTTTTTTTATTTTCCGTTAAATTAAATAGAAAGTCTGAAATTTCTCTAAATTAACCCTCACATCCTCCTCCTCTCTTTTTTTTTTTTAAAAAAAAAATTCGAATTATATATGCTCGATTTAAAAAAAAATTAATTAAGCGAGCTAATTTTTGTTATACGCTAATATATATTATTTTTTATTTCTTTTACATCGATTTAAGCTACACGATAAATATATTAGGTCGAAGATGGGTCTCACTTAACGTAAAGTTATGAATTACAAGAATGGAGATAGATGTTCGACGGAGCTAGTGTCCATGTCTTATTTTTTGAATGTATTAGAAAGATTGATATAGTATGGTCAAAGCAAGATCCATTAAAAGAAAAGTTAGTTGTTACTTTCTTCGATCTTTACTAGTAAGTTAAAGCGAGTTTGGCCCAAAAAACATAAATCCTTCAAACTAAATCCAGCCATCCAAACTTGAATGACGTGGTATGATTTTAGCGGTCAAGAATCATTTTTTTTATATATAAATGCTAACATCATATCATTTTAAAGAGATAAAAACTTTTGCATCGGAAAACTTTTAGATTTAAAACTTTTAATGTTTAGGGGAAAAAAAACTCATGAACTCTCACTCTCAAAACTCTCTTTCTCACACACACACACATACCAAATAACACCTAAAAGCTTCATATGTTTGGACTTTGACTATCCATCCGTCGACCACACGACTTATAATTTGCTAGCATTGCTTGTTTTTTTCTCTCTCATGCCTCTCATTATTTGCATTCTTTCTAATTGATTGGTTAATTAGTTCTTTTACAAGTCATAACGCTAACTCTCTATATCTTAAGCGGCCTATCGACCGGTCGTCTATCAATTCTCATGAACCCTCTTTATATTCTAGTGATTCCACTAGAGAGTTAGTGATTGCAAAGAATAATGACCCTTTTTCAAAATAATCAAGAAAAACATCAATTATGCTACCAACTCAACTCGCTCACAACAATGATGATATCGTGTATGATACTTAATCACAACACCAACTTGCTTAATACTAAAAATATCAACAATCTTTTAAATCCTCAAATCGGTAGTGGCAACTTACTAGCACTATCAACACCATCGGAAAGTGGCCTATCTTGACTCGTTGTTCAAGCCCTCTACAATTGTTTCATATTCGGGTATTTAGGTCATGATTAAAGTTTTATAGGTTTTTTAGGATGCTCAATTCATACTAAAACACGAACAACAACAGATGTTCAAAGTCTTTCAAGGAAACAATGTTGTATTTACCTAAACATTAAGTAATATCACACAACTAGTATCAATAAAGAGAATTCCCAGATCGCTCTCCCTCAAACTATGACACCACCAACTATTAACGTTGATGATCATCTCTAATTATTTATTTAACCTGGATGATAAGGAAGAAAGTGCCCCATCAAATAATCATCATATAATTTTACATGACCACCAACTACCTTATTACGTTGTTGCTTCTAATGGCCAACACCACTATCTTAATGAGAAGAACTTAGAAAATTTCTTCAAATGAAAGTTGGTAAAATCCACTTACTTGTTTGATCTTAAACTTTCCTATCTAACTCGCGTTACGGTGAGGCCTTACTTGAAAGAGTATATGAGTTCTAAGTTAAAGTTTTTAATGGAAAACAAAAGGAGGCCAAAGAGTATTTTATACTTGTTTGTAGAGACCTTGGGTGTTAATAACTTAAATGAAGATTTGAAGATTTTTTTAAACCCCTAATTGAGAAGGCATATACATAGTATGCAAAACTAGCCCTTAGTTACGTTCGGACTTGGACAAACATATCCAAATTATTTATCGAAAAGTTTTTACATCAATGAAAAGGTGACCATATTTGACTTAGGAAAAAATGTCAAGTTCTAGAAAGAATTTATTAAAATACAATAAACGAGTTTAGGGACCATACTCTAGATAGCTAAGAGGGTTTTGATGAGACAAAAATTATCAAGCTATGTATCCAATACATGTATAAAGAGTATAGAATACTTCTTTACAATTTAGGCTTAACTCCTATTTTTACCTTAATAGAAAGTGCTCGTAGGACCAATAATTTTATTGTCACTTTTAGAATGTGTCATAATCCATTTTTGACCTTCGGTTTATTTTCATACAAAATTCAAAAAAATTTTAAAAAAGCATATTGCATAGTTTCTTGATTTTTCATTATTTTTATAAAATTTTATGATTTTATTTTTTAGGTTTCTCCCCTACTTTTAATTAAATAAACAAAAGGAAAAAAAATGAGACGATGATTTAGGATCCAATTGAAAAGAATGAGAAGTGAGGACCAAATAATATTCAATTAAGGATGTAATTGGAAGGGATAAAAAAATCAAGAGCCGTAATTAAAAATAAATTAGGATAGAATTGAAATAAATCAAGAGAATAAGATTTACACGAGTTTCAATTAAGGAACCAACTGGAGAATAAATAATAAAATGTACACTGAAATTGAAAGAAACAAACAAAGAAATGACCAAATTTGATTTTATCTCAATCCTTAAAAGGCCACCGTAAAAACAAACTTTCTCCTCATTTTTAAAAGGGTTAGGGCTAGTATTCATTTTCCCTAAAAACAAACCCGAGACCATTCATCTCTCCCAATTAAAAAAAAACCCTAACTGTCATTATTCATCTTCCTTAAAAATACCAAAAAACGTTAGCAACCAATATCCTCACTGTCATCACCTTCGCTAGCCATTCGTAGCCACTAGTTATTATCTTCGTTGCTAGCAATCCTAACCAAAACATCCCTTCTCTTACACATAAACTCTCATCACCATCTACTACTAATGTCACATCCATATGCCTATAAACTCCGAATGTCATTCTCATTGCCTAACAATCAAGATCTAACCACTTAAATTGCCACCATAATCGAGACCCGACCACTATACTTAACTTTCTTTGCCAATCTCCTCCCTCAACAACACCACCCATTTACTGCCAACAACCTTGATCTTTACCATCCCATCACAACTAAAACAACCTCGATCTTCATTATCTTTCACAAGCCATCAACCTTTTTTTCCACCACTCGAAACCCCTAAACCTACACTCGGACCCTCATCTACCATCATTTTCTCTTATTGTTGATACTAAAAATCCAAACTGCTCGCCACTTCTTTTTATCTCTACCTAACAAAAATCCTAGCCATAAACTACCACTTTAGTAACCACCAAGCTACCACTCAAAATTGATACCATCAATCCTCCACCATCACTATAACTATCAAAACCCTAACGGCACGAGACCATTATTTTCTCCGTCAACCATCCGAGACCCACGACTTATCTACCATAAAACCACACCTTAACAACGACCATTATTGTACCTATTAAAGCCTACCGTCAACCATCCTTTCAAAAGACCAAACAAAACCCATCGCTCCAAGTTCACCCACAAAGCTTCCTTAAAATACTACCGGACTCCACAAACAATGTCACTATCAACGAGTCAAGATACATCTTTCATCATCATGTAAACCTACAACTTCAAACTCTCTTGCAGTCACTTGTTGCTATTAATAAAAAGAAGAATGGAATCTAAATATAGCAAAAACATCTCCTAGATCGTCTAATTTTACTAAATGTTAGCTTTGTAAAACTCATTAGATAGATGAAAAAGGAAGAAGTCATGAGGGGTAGTTTTTTTCTATAATAGAGGCAATTTTGTCATTTCTCGTACAAGGGATAAATCGGTAATTTCTTACATCAAAAGGTAGTTTGGTCATTTTCAATATTAAGGGTGAATCTAATCATTTTTTCACTCTAAAGGTAACATCGATATCTCAAGTAATCTAGAATAATTCACTCATTTTCTTGGATTGCTTGTGATATTTGTTCTAATTATTCGTAATTTATTTTGTTTATATGTTTGAATAAATTGTGTGGTTAAATTGAAGTGCATTAAGGTGCACCATTGTGCATCGAATCTAAGTGTTAGAGACCCGAGATATTGAGTTGGAATAATGTTGGTTCAATGCTCTTCAATGATGGTAGGGGGATGAGTTTGTGTTAATTTTATGGATTATCCGGTATAAGTACCAATCCTAGTGTGTTGCAAATCAATTAATAGAATTGAATTGTTTATGTTATTAATTGCTAAAAATGTTGGGTATCTATTTTAACAAAATTATATAATTTAGTTTGGGCCATTTTTATTTAGCATTCTATGTAAATATGTTTATTTAATTGTGTTATTTCTCAACTTGACAATCGTGTCGGGACTTTAATTAGATCCAATCTTAAATTGATGAGACTCTTAAATTTTAGGGCCTAATGTTGATTTAATATGATGTAGTAAATAAAAATAAAAAATTAATTTTGAAAATGTTGTTCTCATATACCTCAAGAATAAAATACTTTTAGTTTAATTAGGTTATTCCTTGACATGTCAATCGTGTCGGGATTTTAATTTTGATCCGATATTGAATTAATAAGACTCTCGATTTTAGGACCCGATGATAATTCAATATGATTCCATAAAATTTAGCAAAATATATTCTTATGGGATATATTTAAGATCAAACTAGACATGATACCTTTCCTCAAAAATAGTACCTTTGGGTGATCGATATCTTTCTAAAACCATAAACAACTCTTTATCCGCAATCTCCGAATCCAAGTATCCTTTTTAAGTTTCTAGTTACCTTTAATACTATGTGGTAATTCTACATATTTTTCTTAATTCTTTTTCCCTTAAACACCAAAATTCATAATTTTTTAAAGTCCTCTAAATGTTG